TTTCTGCAACAAGCTTATGGGCTTTCAGTGAGAGGTGATGGAGCTGCCTGGGGCTCAGCCTGCTGATGATAATGCTCTTCAATACTGTGTTTAATATCAGAAATTTTTCCGATGTCATACACAATTAACATGTTCTTTGAAATCTGCATGCTGTGAATAGCTGACCAGAGTTACTGTGCAAGATGGACCACAGAATAACTGATTTTTAAACTAAATTCACTTTTACTTTTTTATGTGTAAGTCAAGCAGCATCTCCACATCCATATATTCTTGTGTAGCATTCATGCATCCCTGGAGCACCCTCTTGTCATTACGTTTAGTGTTTCCAGTCGCTGTTTAGACAATGTAAATGAGATTAATCACAACTTAGCATTGCATATGTAAGAGAAGGTGCAGAAGATTCCAGCTTGTGTGCTATGATGTATTTATTTATTGTCACAGCACATTAAAACAAACAAACCAAACAAGCCCCACTTCACAGCAACAATCCAAAATCAAGAGCAGTTATGGTAAGGCTGAGGGCAAGTAAAGAATATTTGGAAAAATGCACTGCTTTATTTTAGGCTCTGAGCAGGTGTTAACATTCAACCTGCTTCCATCCAGGGTGGGCTGTGATGCTCTCAGCACGAGCAAATAACCTTTCCGTGCTTCTGACCATCCCCAAGGGCTATAGGTGTGTGTCTTATTCTGAGGAAAAGTGAATTAAAAGAATGTAAAAGCTGTAAATGAATGTGGAAGTTGAGAAATGAGAGGATCAAGATTATCTTGTGATACAAGCCGTTTATTTTAGGAGACAATTCTAGGGATGCAGGAGACACATTGACAGTGAACAGATGGTACCACTGTCAGCCATGGTGGGGTCAGGGCAACTGCTCAGTGTTGCTCTCTGAAAGCAAACTTAATTTGCTTAATTACACATCACATGACATCACCCAGCACCATTACCACAAGACAAACATTGGTCCAATGGGTGGCAATTGTTTGCTGTTCCTTTGCAGCTGTTCTTGGTGTCAAATACCAGAGACAAATTTTCATCTCTATATTACCCACCCTTTTACTGAACACAGAATTATTGACAGCATTTCTGGGATGTCATCACTGGACCATTTTCAATACTTGCACTTGACATTATTTGGGCTATTGCTATAATGTTAAAGCCACAAGCAATCCCCACATGGAGGGGGGGCATGGAGATTCGAGCTCAGATGGTTAGAATTTCCACTGATATTAAGACATCACGTAAAGTTCCAAAATTACAGTTTTCACATCCCTGATCTGGTAACAATCACCACAACAGAATTTGCAGATGAGGGTGAGGTGCCCTCTCAATTTTCTCTTTGATTTCCTCAGTTTTGGTTGGTGTATTGACTGCAAAGACAAGCTGGTATTAATGTGACGGAGCCAGGTGTCTGACTTTGCTCCTTCTTTCTTCCTTTCCTTCACACTTTGGTTAATTGATACCCCTTAAGAGGCACTGGGGAGATAAAGCTTCGTCTTGGTAGAGTGGACTTTTCTAGGAGGGAAGAAGCTCTCCTTTGCTGGGAAGCCTACAGTGGATTTTGGAGGCTGAATCAGCAGTGGGTGCACCTGCAACTTTCAGACCTCAGGAGGTGACTGAGGCCACTGTGTCCATGTATAAAGAGAGCTGGAGCAGGACAAGATCTTTACCCTTTGTCCCACTTGTTTTGCTGTTTCTGGAACTTGCTTTTTGTATTTGTCTCCTTCTGATTACAATTACAGTCACACTTGATGGGAGGAGAATCCTCTAGCACAGAATTTAGCATTAATCTCTTTAGAGGCATCTGATTTTGTCCACATGGAGCAATTATGTGCTGACATTAATGTGTGTTTTTCCCTATGCCTCCCATGTCTGACTCGAAAGCTTTTTTCATTACAACACTTTATTGCTCTGTGTTCTTTAATCTCCGAGGCAGATTACTTGATAACATCAATTGATTCCTTAGGGTGCTTTTCCCCTTGTGGTTCAATGTCTGAGCTCCTGCCTCAATTCTGACTATGTATACGCCGTTATAGGCAATACAGCCTCAACTTGGGTAATTTTTACTTGATTGAAGCTCTTGGCTATTAACACAACCTTCTGATCAGTGATTCTGAGTATTGAGAAAAAACAAAACATGAAGGATTAAACAACTGTTAAATTAAGTGCTTTTTCTCCCCCTTCCCCAGTCTCATCATGAGCCAAACCTCTCTCCTTCCCCCTTCCTGCTCTCTTCTTGCCTTGTGTTCAGTGTGGGCTGTGCTCCATCATCCCAATTCCTTTGGGGCAGCAACAGGGGATGCAGGAGGAGTATCATTCTTTGGATTTATCCCGGCACTTGCCTTTTCATTCAGGCAACTCCCAGTTCTGGTTACTGCTGAGTTCAGACTTGCTACAGTGCTATAACTCCTCCTGACAGGGCAGCAAGGTGATCAGGCTGTGGTTTTGGAGCAAATCTTTTAAATCTTTGAAATGTTTGCTTTTTGCATAGAGAATTGAGACTTATTTTGCTTCCTTCTTTGCTTCTCATTCAGGTCTTTTTCGAGTCCATTTGTAGCTGTACATCACTTGTTCCCATCAGGAGTTGCTTAATCTCTGTCCCTTCAGAACCTTTTGCTTTGCTATGCTCAGCATTCCAAGATCTGTGTGTTGTCTCTGCATCCCTGTATCCATTTCTGTACTAACTAAGGATTCATATGGTCTGTTTCTGTTGAATATAATTGATCCACATTCTCACAGATTTTGATTAATGAGCACAAATGCAGCCACCTGGATATCTTAGTTCACCATTTATTATTTGATAATCAGCACTTTCAGGTCTTCACTTTCCTCTTGGCTTCAGCGCATGTGCAAGTGCTGTGTCAGGGCTGTGTTTCTGATCTGTCTGCCTCCTCCGTCCCCTGCAGAATCTGGCCAAGTAGTAGTTAGGGAAAACTCCCCTTATTTTCTTCCAAAAGGGGATAGGGCTAAACACCAAAGTCAGGCCTTTAGCTTTACACTGGCAAGTTTCCAGCAGTGATGGCTCTCCATTTCTCCTTTGTCCTGTCCATCCCTCTCTTTTTCTATTTCTCTTCAGTCTGAACTTGAGTATACCTTTATAAAACTCCCCTTTAAAGCCTGTGATACATGTTTGGCCCATGTTTGAATGTGGATCCCTACTTTAAACTGATGGGTGGGAGATAAACTTTCAGGTCCATTTGTTGACCAAGCTGGTTTTATACAAGCCAAAGATTTTCAAAAGTGATGCCTTGGATAGAAGGAGTACTGGTGGGCTGGTTCACCTCAGCCACACTGAGAAAAAGGTTTTGTCCTTTGTGCCTCAAGGTGAAATCCCTGCTTTGGCAAAGCAAATGCTGTTGCCCCAATTGTTTGACACTGCCCCAGCATTGATGTTTTGTCCCTAGGCAGCCCGCCCAGCCCACGTGTTTGCACTGGTGAATCCATTAGTGGGCTCCCTGCAGAGATTCCAGCATGGTGTGAGTTGGTTTATACAACCCATGACCTATTTTCCACCCTGATCATGCTGCTTCGCCTCCAAAGTCAGATCAACAAGACGTCCCTGTCAGCCTCTTTCCCTGAGGAGTGCTTACAGCGTCTGTTGACCATCCTTAATTACTCCTATGGTCAGCATGGGAGTAAAAGGATGTGTTGGAAGACTGAATTATTCAACAGTAATTCCTTGTCTCATAATTCTCACTCGTTCCCTCTCTGCTGCTGTATGCCATTTTTTCTCATTCACAACATCTATTTTCCTGACCATAAAAATTCTTTAATTTGGAGGCAATGGGTAGATTTGACTTACACAAATAAGAGCTGATTGACAGATCATTTTGTCTCCTTGTTTCATGGGGTAGGAAACTATCACTCTCCTTATTTCTGACTGTTGCAGTTTGCCAAAGGGAAAAAGCTGGCAATGAATTTTCCTCCTTTGTTCATCAGGGGGTGAGCTGTGCTGTGCAGTATTTCCGTTGTGTCATGACCATTTTTCAGTACAAGCAAACACCACAATATTTAAATATGCTGAAAGGGAAAGAAAAGGGATCCTTAAAATATATGACTTTATTTTCAGAACAGACATAATTTTAAATGTATGAAATATTTGTCCTTTGGAAAGGAAAGGGAGGTGGCTTGGAACTCCTGTATTTTACATTTTTTGCCCTGATTGCAGATAGTGTTTTGTGTCTGGCTGTGTTTGCTGAGCTAATGAGGGTGGGGACTGTGCTACTGCAGGCGATTGCTTTGAGCACTGAGCACTTTGAAGAGATTAGCCCCATTGATATTCCCTTCATCTTTGTTAGAGGGGCATGCTTCCTTCCCTGGAGTGCCAGGAGATGGACAGCTATTTAATAGAGCCAGCCTTTTTCAAGTACAGGCTGTACTCCTGAATATCCCCATCTCCCTTGCCTGCAGATTTCCCACATAAAAACAATGTTCTGGAAGCCAGGGTTGTTCCTCATTAGAGCAATATATTGACCTGATAGGGTGGTTTTTGAGGACCTGAGGTTGACTGGGTTATCATCTGTTTGGTTAAATGTTATTCTTCAAGGAGAAGCAACAGTTCCAGTAGTTCAGGCAGACAGCCAAAACATGGTGATGAGCAAATTGTTTGTTCCAAGAGTAAATGAAGGGAATGTCCACATGATTTTTGCCATCCTTGTATTAAACTAACAGAAGCTGAAAATTGGAGCTTTATTCATCCCAAGTGGGGCATAACTGATCAAAATTTTGATTCTCCAGCAGCTATATACAAACTGAATTAAAATGGCATGCAAGAAGATGGCTTTTTTTCCTAATCTCATTTTAACTAGGCACAGTCTTAAAGGAATAATGTATTCAACCTCTCATCTCTAACATTTACTGCTTTTGTTATTTTACCAGGTTCATGGATTGTATTTTATATTTATTGTTTATATTAATTCCAGCTCATAGAGTGCTGCAATTAGCACATTCCCCCTTTGAATGTATTTACAGTGATAAAAGAGAACTCCTTACTTTCACTTAGACTGCACAGCTCCATCCCAAGCCTGGCTTAGATACAAGAGCTTCATCTCCTGATTAACTTACTCCTGCAGACAGTCAGGGATGAAGGACCTCTGAAAGTCATCACAGCCTTTCTTCCATGAAAGCTCCTCTTAAATATCGACAGCTTCCAGGTCCTATGTTTTGAGTACAGCATCTGTATGTAAAGAGAGGATCAATACTGCATTCATCATTCATATCCTGTAATAAAGGAAAGGGATTTTTGAAAGATTAGTTTAGTATTTGTGGGTCCTTTCTATGTCTTAAATATGGAAGGTGGAATAGCCATGGCATTCTCTGCCAAGGACTGGATAGGTCAGGGAACCTGCGAGGGGACAGCCATTTGCATCTTTGTCACTGCCAAAATTAAACATAAGTTCATCAGTAATCAAGAGTCATTAGTTAGCTGGGAGATTTGTGGGCTGACCCAGACTTGTGTTGGGAGTGGAGAAAACACATTTAGGAAAACAAAGAACCTGGGTAGTTTTATTTAAGGGAAACAAGCCCTGAGAGAGGAGAGAGAATCCAGAGGGGCTGGGATGCTGTGTAGAAAAAAGTAATTCTTGTTACTGTCTAAGTGTTTCAAGTATGCTGTTTCAAGGATAATTTAGGGAATTTGGTCTGCTCTTTACCCTCTTAGAAAGCAAAATATTTAATATTTTAGATTAAATTTAAACTTGGAGATGAAATGTCGGTTCCATTAAAAAAAAAATTAAAACTGTCCATAACCAGCATTTTTCTTTCTCCTTTGTGGGGGTAAAAACTATGCCAGTCTATGCTGAGTTTGAATAACACACTTTCAGTAATTCAAAACTTACATTTTTAGCAAACATCCTCTTTTTCCAATATTCATTTTTAAAAGTAACCAAAGTCGAAAAGAAAATTATTCATGTGTATTGTGATTACCAAGAAAGTTTTGATTCCTTGAACAGCTCCTCCACTTGGTAAATGGAATATATTAATGAACTAGGTCTTTTCAGAGCTTGGAAAGTGGCACTTCCTTTCAAGACAGAGATCATCTTTGAATGAAAAGTCTGCTGTCCTTAGCCTTTTTTTATTTTTATTTTATTGACAAATTGTCACAGGAGCTGAAGTGTGTAATCATCAATAACAAGTGATCCATGGGGCTACGCAAGATATATTGATTAACAATATAATCTCCATACAGATGTCCTAGCAGGGCTTGCTCTTTTTTTATGGGCCAATCTGGGAGTCCTGCTTGCATTTCAAGAGGCAGGTGGAGGAAGGTGAGTGAGACAAAGTTCAGGGCATCTCTGCAGTTGCCTGGCAGCATCTTTGCTGAAAAGGGAAAAATGCCACCAGTTGCTCCCACCACAGGATGTGCAGCCTCTTTTTTGTCAAGCCTGCATGGGTACAAAGTAAACCCATTTCCTTGAAAGGAATTCAAAGCCTGAGACAAAATCCTCTTTGTCATGAAAGCATGATTTTAATTTGTTTTTAAGGCTGTTCCACAACTAAGAAAATACTGATTTAGATGCCTTTGAGGCATTTAACTTACAGTGAGGCAGAGTTATTCCTCAGAGAAAATTGGATGTAATTTTAGGATTAGGTAACTGACCTAGGAATGAGGGAGAGAGGGAGAGAGAGTGCAAAGCTTGCATATCCACTTTGTCCAGATGGATATTCACTAGGAAACCTTCAAGCTGCTCATAAATATTGCCTGTCCTTTTTGTAAGAGCTCCCACCAGCAAGCCCATGGTCATTTCCTGGGTAGAAAGAATTTTTGCATTGAAACTTTTGGGCAATTAAATAAAGTATTTTATTTTCCCTTTATTTTTCTGTGGCAAAATATTATCCATAATGATGAAGGGAAAATAAGCAAGGAAAGAAGTTCTATAAACAGCCTCCAATGCCTGACTTGAATATTTGATCTGTTTGTTTGTTTGGGATTTTTTCACTCTGTAATGAACTTCCTTTATTTCTTTGCCTGTTTCTCAACTCACGAAAATACCTTTTATATAGAACTGTTATCTCTCTGAGTATCAAATGCTCTTGGGGACTAGGGTAAAATCTACTTATTTTCAGTCTTCCTAAACTAAATTGAGTGAAAAAAGGAAGTATCTTAATCCTTTTTTCCCCCCTTCTAGAACACCAAAGAGGTTGTGATGACAGTGAATTCTTTAATGTTGGGCTTATGTCAAACATTATTTCCTCCTTTGACACTTTACATTGCAAGTGAATTTGTGTGCAATACCTCGGTGACCTCGGCACGCACAGAAGAGAAAGAAAAGTAGAGAGTTCCTGGTGCGCTGTGGCTCTGCCCAGCTCTGGCACTGGGCAGCAGGAGATGCAGGGGGCAAACAGATAAACTCAGGAAATGCTGTATTTTCCCTGTGGATCAGGGCTCCCAGAACTGGCTCCTCATGCACTTCCATGTTCATGGATCTCTCCTCTGTGAACTTTCTGGTTTGGCACTTCTTTGTATTTCCAGCAGATCCCATAGTCATGTGGAATACCTCCCTGCCTGTGCTTGAAATCTCTTAATCATACATTCTGATTCTCATACTGTGGGAATTATTGAATAATTGTTCCTTGTTCAAACTCTTCCTGCTGGCACATCTTCCCTGCTCTCTTTGCAGAGCTGTAGAGTCTGTGTCTCTTTAATCTCCTGAATGCATAAGCCATTCCTCCTCTTTCTTCATTTGTTGCCCTTCTGTAAATCTTATTTTGGGTACTTCTTTTTACAATGGAAAAGAATGAGTCTGGTATGATTTTTTCAAGATGTGCTTAAGTCAGGGTTTTAAATACAGGCCTAATAAGATTTTTTTTAGTTTCTTCTCTAGCTTTTGAGTTTCCCCCCCATCTTAAATCTTGTCATTATAACATGGTGAGGTTTTCAAAGTATCCGTGGTGGCTGGGAGATCTCTGTCCTGAATGACAAAGGCTAATTTACTGTCTGTCACTGGATTTGTATAATTAAGAATACTTTTGTTTATTTGAATCATTTAATGTTTCTCAGAACTCAGTTCCATCTGCCTTTCTATTATTTAACCCAGCATCTTGGGATTCTTCAATCATTCTGTGACTTGTGCTGTTGTCTTGAAAAACATGAATTTTATATTCTCAGTGTTCACCTTCACATTCTTTAAGAAAAAGAAATTTTTGATGTGCTGACTAGCACAGGTCCCAGAATAAATGTCGCATTCTTCTGGTAATCTGTATTTTTCTCACTTGTCCGTCCTATTGGAAAGATTCCATATTTTTCGCCTCCCAACTTTGGTCATCAAAACTGTCGGGAATTTAAGTATCTAATGTCAGTCAGGTCACCCTTACTCCTGAGCTTCTCGGCACCATCAAAGAGCCAATTTCTGATCAATTTTTGTGCTGTAAAAGCTATGATAACTCCTCACTGTTGTGTTGCATTTCCCCATGCATCAGCTCAATCTGCTCCTTATTATACAACTGAGTTTATTGGACCTGTAAATAAATCCCAGGTACCAGCTGGCAGTTTCTCAGGCTCTTTTCAGAAGTTGCTGTCACATTTGCTACCTTCCATTCCTCTGCTCCTCAGACAAGGCTAAGCAGCTGCTTCAGGAGCAATTTCAGTTAATATCATATTTAATGTTTTATTAAACTCCTGTTTGAATACTTTCTGCTTCTGGCAAGAATTTCATCACCTCATTCTAAGATTTTAGACTTGTGTTTCCCATTAAGAAGCCAAGCTAGCCTGTCCAGGCTGTGTCTCAGGAGTTACAAAAGCAGTCAGCTCTCTGCACTGCTCTGCCTGGTGGGACTGTAGCTGCTTGGGGATGGCTGGAATAATGCACAGATGCCTTTGCAATTCAACACAGAGAAGAGGGATTTAAGCTATTGCTATATGGGTCACCTGGCTTACTTTGCATGACCTCATCTTCAAAGGAATGGATGACTATTCCCACTAAAGGAATGAGTCAGCAATTCCTTCAAAGACATCTATCTATACAATAGGAAGTGTTTTGGTTGCTCATCTGAAGTTGCATGTTAAAATTAGGAGTTAAATTGTTAACACTGTCCTGGGAGTGCAAGATTCACTGAATTTGAGAATTTTACTCTACAGTCCATGAAAAAAAAAGAGGAACTTAAAACATAGTCTGTTAAATCCATTGCCTTCCCTGGCTTCCTTGCCAGAGCTGTAATAGTAGTAGTTGATAACAGCCTGTTATTCAGGATCATCCCTTTCTGTGTTCCAGACTGCAGTCCCAGCTGTCTCTGGTACACAGTTATGTGTACTTGGCCAAACAGGTCTTTCCTTACATCAGTGGAATCAGCCCACTCCATTTTGTATCCAGTATTGAGGGGTTTTATTTTCTATTGTGTATTCTTTTTCCTTCAATTTCTTGCCCTAGCCAGTCATCCTGAGTGGCATTTGGAATGTACCTGACAGCATAACAGGCATTTATAAGTGACTGAAATTAATGATTATTATTTTAGCTGTGCTTGCAAGCTAAGTTTAGGCACTGGCACAATTAGGAGTCATTGGCTGATTGTCCAGCAAAATAATGGGCTTCATTTAAGCAGATGAAGCCTCTGAGTCAGACCCCAAGCAGGGCAGATCTGTGCCAGTGCTGGCCTTGCTCAGCACTGTGGCTGAGGGGGTCCTCCACCTTCTTCCCTCCTCCCTTCTTCCCTGGGCAGCTCCAAATGCCAGGAATGAGTGAACAACCTGGCTTGAGAAACTCACAGCCTTCCTGTTCCAGTTCCTACATCTGATGTGGAGTGGTTGAATCTGGGACTGCTGAGTCTTATGATGCAGGTATTGTGAGTGATGTAATGTTCTTGTATTTTTTTTTCATAAATTAACACATTTATTTGAGTAAATTAGTAGGCAACTCTAATGCTTAATGGGATATTGCAGGCATAGTAAACACAAGGTTATTGAATATAATGAACACTTCTTCTCTGGCATCTGAGCAAATTATAGGGAAAGGAAATGGGAAAGGAAATCAATAAGAAGAACCAAGCCCAGAGAAATTATTAAGCATCACCTCATTCAGAACCCCTCAGCTAATGAAAAAAGGGTGCTCTCCTGAAATAATATTGCCCACAGCCTAATCTGGAAGATACATACGGTGTTTGGAGAGGAGACCAACAGTGTTTGCTGGGAAGTGCTGAGCATCCTCATGGCATTGTGTACCTTGTGCAGCAGGTTCTCTGTGGCAGCCTTGGGTTTCCTGGGCCAAGGTGCAGGATGTCCTGAGTCTCAGCGTTGGTCCTTTGAAGAGAAAAGAAGTCTGAGCCTGTCCCCTCCCCTTGCCTTCTGTGAAACTGCAGCATGCTCTGGGTGGCTGTTCTGTAGTCCAGCCAAGCCAGCCCCTGCCAGCAGGCACCGTGCTGTGTGTGTAGGGCATCCCCTGCACTGCAGAGCACCCAGCTGGGAAGATGCAGCCTGAACCTGCAGCAGGCTGCTCTGTCTGTCTCTGTAGTGGTTGGTTAGCTTACTCATCCCAACTCTGTGAAGTTTTCCAAACACAGCTTCACTGAGAGCCTTGAGAGCTTAAATCTCTGCACGTGCCTGCTGCAGACCCAAGGGCTCCTGGGGCTGTCTGCTTCAAACTCTTCCCTAACCAGGCCTCTGGTACATATTTTATAATAATTCCTTTTCATTCCTTGCTCATTTGTTTTCTGTTGTTACTTCTCTTTTGCTACTACAAAAGCTCTTCTGTTCTTACATTTGATGTTCACTTCTGTGATTTGTCCTGATGTTCTCTGCAATTATAAGTTTGAGTAGTACTGAGGTGAATGAATAATTCAGCAGACCCAAAATGACACAGATTGGGTTGCTCCATAGCTGAGAGCACAATCACACCCATAACACAGAGCTGACATCAATCTTGTGTACAAATACATGTGGATTATGGGCCTGTGGCTCTGCACAGTTTTGCTCTTAACATCCATCTTCACAGTCAGTTTGGGCTCTTTGGAATGATGTACTAAAGGCTGGACAAGGAAGTTTTATTTCCAGAAATTTTATTTCCAGAACTTAGCCCATAGGTGTGTGGGGCTGGTCTTTCTGTCAAGATTTGGCAGAGTGGCCATTAGGATCCTGCCCCTGGGAAGTGGTAGATCCCAAGCCCACAGTTGAATTACTGTGTGAATCTGTTACCTGTGCTGTGGGCACTCTTGTACCATGTGTGCATGAACTCACATGGAGTCCTCTCTTGCATGATCTGATTTGTTCTTCTCTTGCCATTGGTGGAGGAGAGGAGAACTGAACCCCAGTACAGCATGGCCATCACCATGGAAACATGCTGGTGGGTACAGCCTCCCAGCAGAGGAACACAGAATCACCAAATCACAGATTAGTTTGGGTTGGGACCTTAAAGATCATCTCATTCCATCGCCTGCCATGGACCTTCCACTATCCCAGGTCGCTCCAAGCCTGTCCAGCCTGGCTTTGGACACTTCCAGGGAGGGGGCAGCCACAGCTTCTCCGGCACCCTGTGCCAGGGCCTCACCACCCTCACAGGGAAGAATTTCTGAGTAATATCAAATCTAAACCACTCTCTGTTATTTTGAACCCTTCTCTCCTTGTACTGTCCTTGTACTGTAATTCCAGTTCCTGACAGAGTCCTTCTCCAGATTACCTGTAGCCCCTTTTGATACTGAAAGGGGCTCTGAGGTGTCCACACAACCTCCTTTTCTGAATAGTCCCAAATGTCTCAGCCTGATTTCACAGAGGAGGTGCTCTAGTCCCTTGAATCTAGGGATTCAAGCACTTCATGCCTTCTGTAGTCCTGGCCCAACTAAAGTAGAATCACCTTCATATGCTCAGTGATTTAAAAGCAGCGAGCACAGCTCAGCTCATCTACTGCCACATACATAATCAGTTTGGGTATTTCTAAGCAAAACAAATACTTCCAAAGGAGCTATTGCAAACAGATGGACTAACATTCATAAAATAGGCAGTTCCCTCTTTAAGGGTTTTGTTGGAATAAAATGGATTGGTTTTATTGAGATTTAAACTGCAGTTTGCTTAAATTATTTTTATATTTGCCCATTATATTGTGAGCATATGAAATGGGCAAAATGTTAAGAATAATTAAGCAGAGTGGTCCTGAATACCTTGGCAAGTCTGAAAAAATCATATAGAAAAGAAAGCAGCTATCTGTGGAGCTGACAATTCTACTTATATAAGCCCATCTGTTTACATCTACACCTGTTCCCTAAAGAAGAATACATCTTATGTGAAGAATTCCCACCAGATCCCTCAGACATTTTATTATTCAAGAATGGTCTTCCTGTTTCTTCTCTCTCTCTCCTTTATAAGAAACTATAGAATTAATGTTTTTAGTGTGGTCTCATAGAACATTTGCAAGACAAATTATGGACTTAGCATTAAAATTAAAAGAGTTTGTTCTCTTCTGATTTCATAATGAATACAAGCAGTTGCAAGCCACGTGCACATACTTACAGTGGCTCAAAGTCTAGTCTCCTGTTTCTCTTTCCCCTTCCACTTCCTTATTTTCATCTGGAGACCCTCAGAGTATCTCTTGTCAAACCTAAGGTATAGGTTATTTTATATCTAACCGGTCATGTGGAAAGGCTGCTTGCAGGGTGTACACTTCTTTCATTGTAAAACTTATTTTTAAAAGAGAAAGAGGAATTAGGAGCTCCAAACTTTGTGTTTCTCTGTGTCCCTCAGTTTCTGCAAATGTAGAGCTAATGCTGTACATTCCTGGCTGAGGTTCCATCCTTAGAACTACTTCAACAACAATATTGCCTGAATAACGTCAGATATAAGCATGTGGACTTTTTTGATCTTTTTATTAAATCCTGGTATCAAAGTGGATTTATCCACTCTCAAAGATAAGATGGAAGGATGCCAGCTTTTGAAGATCATTTGCATTTCTTTCATTTGGTGGCCTAATCTTCTTCCTACTCTATTGAACTTCAGTAAAATTGCTTTAGAATTCTTAGAACAAAAAAAAACTCTGAAGAGTTCTAACTTCTGATTTAATTATCAAAGTGTAAATTCTTTACATAAACTGTAGTGACATGGCAAATAAAAAATAAAATGAGGTCAAGTCAAAAAGGAGCAAATTAAATTAGCCCCTTCTAAGAAATCTGGACTTGATTGCAAGTTTTGGATTACAGATTTAGAATGAGGATGGGTTTTCTCCTTGTCAGCTTCTTTGGAACCAAAATTTGTAAATTCATCTCACTTCCAGCAGTGACCTCCCAGCTTCAGGGATTCAGGTGCTTGGAAAAGTGCTCCTCTCTTCCCAGGTAGGAAATTCCATTCTGACCACCAAAACTTTCCTTACTCTTCCGGCTTCCCACCACGGTATATCCTAGTGGAGACTTTCCATGAACTTCCAGCCTTTATTGCCAAGGTAAAATTAGAATTGTTGTGTCACTTCTAAGGGTGAACTTCTTACCTCATTTTTATTCTCTTTGTTGTAAACAGTGGCTAGCTGTATTTAAGTTAAGAATTTATTTCCAGATTGGGCTGTCAGGTATTGGAAGGGGCTACCAAAAAGTGTTGGAGTCCCCATCCCTGTGGTGCTCAAGGATCTCCTGGATGTGGCACACAGTGCTGCTGGCTGGTGACAAGATGGGGATCAGTCACAGGTTGGACTCAATGACCTTGGAGGGCTTTTCCAACTTTAGTGATTCTGGGATTCTGGGATTTTATACAGATTTCTCCATATCTCTCTAGATATTTGGGTACAGTAGTCTTCAGCTGTTCAGCTGTAATAAAATACCTTTCCCAACCCATCCAGTGATTCCAGCAGTCCAAAGCATGGATTAAAGGAGAGGTTTATATTTGAGAATATATCACAGCTACAGAAATTCAGAGTATTATGGGATTCTCTGTCAAGACTGCTGAAGATACTGTCTAAAACACTTTTTAACTGCTTGGCTCTATCAGCTGTGGGGAGTTATTGTCTCTATTTCCAAACCGTTAGCAGATAAAGCCTTAAAGGCTTGGAGCAATCCCAATTGTACAGTGAGTCAATTTATGGGGAAAATATCTCTGGGATCAGAAGTTAAAACTTTATTACAGATAGCTCAGATATTGGGCTTGATTTATTTTTTATATCTTCTGTAGTGACATGAGTGAATTGTCTACAGAAAGGCCACATCATACTTATTACAGAGTAAAGGGCATGTTGGAGAGGGAGTTGCTTCTTCATGGGTCCAAAACATTTCTTCCATTTGCAGCAGAACAGAGATACAGAAATAAAAGATTCTTTTTAGGCTGTTGCAACAACTTATCAACACAGTTATTATTGCTTTGAGTATGCTTGAAGAGAGTTTGCATAAATGTCTTTGGACATGCCAAAGAAAATTGTTTCATCTGACGATAGAGTTTGAGTTTATTTGATGCCTTCCTAAAACTCAAGCATTAATTTAAACCAAGCATTAATTTAAATCATGCAAGGCAAGGAGAAGGAAGATTTAATGATTTTCATTTGGTTATATCTTAGCAATATGCTTAGAACTGAAAATTCCTCGTGCTTTTGGGAACTGAAAACTTTTATTTTAATGTGAGACATGGAATATTTGCACTAGATATAGACCTTAAGGGAAAAAAAACCCCATATTTTCAAAGATTTCTTAAAATCATATATAAAAAAGTTCCTACAGCCATCATTATTTTTTCACACTTCTGTGAGAAGGATGTATGGCATTCTTCTGAGAACACATACGTTATTTTAAATTAAAGTGAATAATGCACTGAGATTATAACTGGGCTGCAGTGTTTTATTTCTGATTTTATTTCCATGGTCTGTGTAATACAGGCCATAATTTAGGATTGTATTTTTTGAAAGACAGTGTTTCTTTAAAGGTTTTAGGTAACAGTGTAAAATTCATGAAAAAATCATACCATGACTGAGGAAATTCTCATTGTTTATACTTTACTTGTTTCAAATAAGATGAAATTTGTGAAACATTATTGAATTAGAACTGATTAAAGTATTTCTTTTGTGTACACATGGCATAAATGAGAAGAATTGCAGAAATGATTTCTCCAAGTCTTTTCCAGTTTCTCTTGACATTTGATAGAGTTCTCTTGACTTTTGGATTGCTATAGTTGGGTATCCTTGGATCAAGTCCATTCTCTAGACTTGACCTTTTAAAAAAATCTGTGCTTTAAAGTTGCTAAAATCAGGTGCTGCAAAGGAAGGTAGGAAAAACCTCACTGGATGGTTATGGAGACATCTTCCCACTGGATATTCTTGGGGTTGACTGATGAGCTGATGCATGAAGGTGTATAAGGGATATATTTTTTTAAACAGTTGTATTTTTAGAAAGGAATAAAATGTTTTAATGGCATAATGAGACATTAATGGTCATATCAGTTAATAAAATAAATGCCATGCTGTTAGTCATGATATGTTAAGAGTAAGAATCATTGACATTGTATGCATAAAGCAGACACGAATAATGGCAGAACCTATTAGGCTCTAACTTCAAAAATACCCAGCAATTATGAAACTTTAATTAACAATCTTAACTTACACATATATTTACATCTTAATGGTCCTAAGTGGTAATTGTAATTGTCTCTCATCATTGCTTCCTTTGACCCTCATTTTTCAAATAAGAAATATGAAATTCCATTAAGTAACATTAATAGTAGAAATTAATTTAAGGCAATATATCATCAATTAGCAAACCCTTAACTCATCTCACTATTTTCTCCTGATGCTTACTTGAAGAAAAAGAAGTTAATTATTTTATATATGCCTGAATTCGAGGATATCATATTATGCACACATGATGGAAATGAGAAATAAAGTTTATTAGATTTCCTGGCCTGGATCCAGTAAAGCATCAAAATTCATGTTGACTTCTCCAGACTATTCACATGTGACTGGTGAAGGGCAAAGAGCTCAGCACACAGAGCCAAGGCCAGTGCCAGCACCTTCTGACTGGGAAACCCTGCACTTCTGACAGGGCTTATCTTGCACCTGGGCTACTTTCATTGGGGTTTTTCACTGTAACTAAATGTTCTCAGGAGGAAACCAGAACTTCCTCCAGGTTGTGAATGCATCTGGTTTAACTCTGCGCCTTCCCTTATGGAACAGCTCTCCTGATTCATCCTCCTTCATGGGGATGACATCCCACGGCTGCTGTGCGTGATGGATCAAGATTAGGAAGCAGCATTTGCATCTGGCCAGTAGGTCTTTAGTCATCAAATTGACAAATGAAGCTAATGTAGAATAATAATGTGTGAATT